TGTTTAATCTATAATGTGTTGATTGATAYAGATTAGTTACATGTCCGAAATATCTATAACAACACATATTTATCCATTATGAAAACATTAGAAGAGAATTGTGTATGAATGCCTGTGATTCAGCCGTAGGTCAGTAGGGGGCGAACGCAGGCTTTGAAGACTCTATAAATGGATCAACTTCCTGGTTGGCTGGCAGTGTGTGGTTTCCTGTCAGATCCGAATGGCGATAAATCCTCACTCCAGAATTCTGGTTTTGTATGGTTTTATCCCGTCTAACAATCATATTATTTACCATTGGTGGTTTTCTATTGACTTCAGTCTTTGAGCACGAATATTTCTTACAACAGTTTTTATTTATTTCAGTTAACTAAAATGTTTTTTTCAATTTCAGTTTTCGTTTAGTTAGTTTTAGTTAACTGTAATAACCCTGCCTCTGAGCCCGTCTCAGATGATGGAGCTTCTCTCTGAGTCTGGCCTCTCTTCAGAGGAAGCAGCCTTAGATGGGATAAAACCAGCTCAGAGTAGAGCCCCTGTTCCTCCTTGAAAGGAGTCATCTGATCCCTCTGGAGGTTTTCTGGGGACGTCCCACTGGAAGGAGACTTTGGGGCAGACCCAGAACTCACTGAATGAATGAATGTTATTGTGTACCGTTACAGCATTACAATAAAACTGTGTTGGTGCTCCCRGAACAGTAACGTAATAAAATAAAATAAAGCCAACACAGAATAAATGGATATAAATACAATAAGAATATACAAAAATGTGCAAACAGAACAGTGTTCAGCTTCAACAATTCAAATATTTGATCAAACTGCAGTAGTAAGTCTACATTACCCTTCCAGATGTAATAAGATAAGTTGGTGTTTGTGTCTTAAAGTTTGTTTCATCTTGACCGCTCTGGGGAAGAAGCTGTTTTTCAGTCTTGTGATGCGGGTCCTCATAGTCCTGAATCTCCTGCCAGAGGGTAGGGGCATGTATAAGACCTCGTTTTGTAATAAGAGTGTATTATGTAATAATGAAATAAAATCAGACTTCAAAATGTAATAAACTCACGCTAAAAACCACATTATGTAATAATTGACACAAAATGTAATTAAAGTCTTCAACTGATTTCCTGTGTGGCTCCTCCCCCAGTTTACCCACTAGGACACTGATGGGTCTTGGAGAGGAGACGATGTCTCCCTCTTGGTTTCTTTTTAACCACCACCTTACATTAAAACTCTCCGAGTAGTACATTTAAATCATACTTTGCCATTAAGTACATAATCATTACTCGTTATACATATTTGCCAGCATTATCATTGATTAAATTTAATAAATCACTTCTGTTCTCTCTGTTTCTTGAGCTTCTTGTCCCTCTGGCCTGTGTCTCGGTCCTTCTTATGGGTCCTTTTCCTGTCCCGTTCTCTTCTCTGTTGAGAGTCGAAAGAAGGAGGCTCTGCTGGCCTGACTCCAACTCTGGCGATGGTTGGTGCAGTGGGGTCTCTTGACACAACACATTATGTAATAACATTATTACATTTTGCGGCAATTATTACAAAATGTGGTGGTGTAATCATCTGGTGCTTTATGTAATAAACAAAAAACAGTATTTCTGTTCATCCTAATCAAAATACTTGTAATAACTCATGTTGCACATACTACATAATTAAATATTTATAACTTTGGTCAATAAACACAGAACTTCTCATCTTTTATTTGCATTTTCAGTCAAATTCTTGTGTATACGGATGTATAGAGCAATCTCACCGATTGTTTTCATGTTTTATGGAATCTTTCAAAAACTTAGTTTCTAATTTATTCAACATGTCAGAGCCTGTAGGATGTTAAAACAATTATTAACATCAAATATCCACTTCCAACCCACTCTGTTAGAAACAAGTTCTTCTACCCTCATTTCCTTCTGATACTGCTACAGCAGATAGTCCGCCTGCACCCCGCCCCCCTACATGTGATTAATACAGATTTTTATTTTTTTTTTCACAAAAATTACAGATTTTTAAGGCTCATTATACAGGTAAACGTCTGAAGGGGTTGACATGAACAACTAACTTTTAGATATATTTCCAGAGT